AAGCCAGGAAAGATACTAAGGATCATATAACTCTACAGGACAGCCTCCCACAGCAAAGAATTTTATGCTGCAAAGTGTCAATAGTGTAGAGGTTGGGAAACCCTAGGCTAAGACAGTTTGGGGCTAGATTTCTCCACTGTAGTTACTATATTTTCCCTTTTCTATATCTTGTTCATTGGAAGCAAGCCAGCAATCTAGCCTCCTCTAAGGATGTGAAATTCAGATACACACTCCATATCTTGGGGGAGGTTAGACTCTAAATACATCATTTAGAATTATTCTATAAGGAAGATTTGTCTCTTCTTCCATGTTTATCTGTAGTGTAGACTCGTATATTTACGTGGGAACTCCTTCAGGTTGGTTTCTGTGTTCCTTAGACATGACTTTATTCTTTTCTTTTGTGAGTTCTTGATTACTTTTTATACTACAAGTATTCTGGTTTGTCTTTTATTGTCTCTGCTCTAGACTTAGAATCAGCCATTTCTCAAAGGAGCTCTTGTTCTTTTTATTTGAAGAATGATGTTTAGAACCCAAAATCTGTTTATTTGACTGGGGTATTGTTGCTTCTAGATCCTCTTGGAGAACAGAGGTAGGTTATATGTGTATGTATACAAACCCACATATAAACACATGTTCTGTAATATGTGGTATATATAAAATGTATGCATGAGTTAATATTGATGTCTTTGACTCTAATAATTATTTTTTGTGAATTCTGAATATTGCACATGAAAAATTATATTCTCTGGATGAGGTTGTCACATTTCAGAAGCTCTACAAAGCTTTCTGTTTTCTTTCGATCAGAACTCAATCTACCCACTCCGAGTTCTTATATGCACCTTGCTCTACCTTTATGGCTATATTCAGCCATGTGTTTTCTGAGTATAGTCCCTATCACTATGTGGAGTGAGCTTTCTCTCGCTCTTGTTACTATTGAACCTAACTGGGGGTGATGGGAGATGCAGAGAGGACAAATGATAGACAAACACGCATAAAGCTGGGGCCAGGTGTGCTGGGTGCTCAGATGGAGACACACAACAGCCTCAATGCTTTTTTTCTCTATTATTCTCTTCATTTACTTTGCTACTTTTCTCTATCTTTATTCTTTAAGGCCTTACTCCTTTACAATTCTCGGGAGGGGCATGACATTGTAACAAAAGAAACCAGCTTTCTACGTCTCTGAATGTGAACAACTTAAGAAAAGCAGCTGTACTGCATTTTGTCTGAGGCTGGGGCCTTGCCAAACTCAGCCTATCATTGTGCACAACTGTGCTTATGTAGGCCTCTCATAATGGGCTCTCAACAACTATGCAATATATGCATTATTAGAAGAGACAGTATATTCTTTGTATAGACCACAACCCCACATATAGCCTTGCCTATATAATTTAACAATGTCAGCTAAATTAAAATATAAATTAGATAACTATGGGTGATATTCAAAGTAAACAATAGAACTTATTAAATGGTTAATACTAGAAAGATAATTGGAATTTTTATAAACACTTTTTTCCCATCCAAGTGCTAACCAGGCCTGACCCTGGCTTAGCTTCTAAGAACAGACAAGATTGGGTGTGTTCAGGGTGGTATGACTGTAGACTCAACAATTTTTATTTTCCAGTATGTAGCCTGTTATCAATACATATGTTAGAAATAAAAATCTGATGAATATTACCACTTGGAAAACAAGATCAAAAGGTCTTTTTGTTTTTAGACAGAACATGCTATGCAAATTAATCATGTAAGTTATTACATTTGTTAGTGTCTTCTCTATACTCATGTATTTCTGAAACCTGACATGTGTGGTGTTTTCCTACAATTCTCTGCAGACAGCAACTGGGTGTTCTACAACTCAATTCTGACACTATTAACCTAGAGTTATCACAGAGTCCTCAGGTTAAGGATTCAGGCCCACAGACTGCCTTCACTTCAGAGATGAACTGCATGTCTGTGTTTTTACTGGTGCTCTGATTGGCTAAAAATCAGAGGTTCCTACAACCCTGTCCACACATTTGATCATTTGCTAGAATGGCTCACTGAACTCAGGAAAAGATTACTGGCTATTATAAAAGAATACAACTCAGGCTCAACCACAAGGAAGAGATGTACAGAACAAGGTGTGTGGGAAAGTACACAGAGCTTCCATGCTCTCTCCATGTGTACCATTTTCCATGGACCTTTCAATTTTACCAACCTGGAAGCTCTGAATCCTGTCCTTTTGGGGTTTATACAGAAACTTAATTACATGGGCATGACTGATTAAATCATTGGCCATTGTGACTGAACTCAATCTCCAGCCTCTCTCCCTGCCCAGAAGACAAGGTGGGATGGTGTAGGACAGAAAGTTCCAGTCCTCTAATCACATTTGGTTCCCCTGGCAACCAGCCCCCATCCTATGGTTCTCTATGGTCTTTCCAAAAGTTGTTTATTAAATTTTGGTGTGGTTGCAAGGGGTTTGTTATGAATAACAAAAGACACTTCTTTCATTTTAATTGTTCTTATCACTCAGGAGAGTCCAAGGCTTTTACTCTCTAGGCCAGGGGATGATCATCAAATACAGTGTTCTCCCTTATTCGTGGTTGGTGGTTTTATTTTTTCCAATTTCAGCTACCTAAGTTAAACTTGGTCTGAAAACATACATGGAAAATGTCAGAAATAAACATAAGTTTAAGAGCAGTGCAATAAAATCTTGCACAATACTGCACATCTTTTAGGATGTGAATCATTGCTTTGTCCAGGGTATCCATGTTGCATATGCTATCTGCCCATTAGTCACTTAGTAGCTGTCTTGGTCATCATGTTGATTATCCCATATTTTCCATGCTGTGTCAAAATAATCCTTAGCTTACTGAATAATGGCCCCAAGATGCAAAAGTAGTGATGCAGGCAATTTGAATATGCCAAAGTGAAGCTACAAAGTATTTCCTTTGGTGTAAAAGTGAAAGCTTTTGACTTAAGGAAAGGAAAAAAGTATGCTGAAAATGCTAAAACCTACAGTAAGAACGAATCTTTTACCTGTGAAATTGTGAGGGGGAAAAATTCATGCCAGTTTTGCTGTTGCACCTCAAACTGCAAAAGTTACAGCCATAGTATATGATAAATGTTTAGATAAGAGGGAAAGGGTATTAATTATAGAGTTTGGTGCTATCCAAGTGAGATGGAAGAGAAGGGCCCAACTCTTTCCCAAGAGATGCCCCACAACTGCTCTGGGAGACTTGCTTTCGCTACAGCAGGTTCAGACTTCCCACAATAGTCCCAGATAACTGCCCTTCAGTCTTTTCAGATAACTCTGCCCTTCTTCAGCCACTTCAGATTCCCCACCTTGGCAAGGAAGATCATCCCTTCCAATGACAGCTAGGGCAGATGGGCCCAGTACAGCTGAGCTGGGTGATTTGACTATGCAGAAAGTCTGTGGTTAGCTGAGAGAACACTGTGCATACATGTGAGCCTGCCCTTTTTTGTCTCTATAAGCAGCCCTCTTCTAAATTTCATCTCATGTACTGCTTCCTTCTTATGCTGGAAGTTAAGTCCTAATAAAGCTTCTTCAGGATGGTTTTATTTTGCCTATTCATGATTTCTATCTTGAGTAGAATAGATTGCCCTAAAAGTGGGTAACACTGAGAGAGGCTAACAGAACTGTGAGCTACCATGGGAGTGGTTGGTTGCAGCTAGTTCCAACTGCTGGAAGAGTTCTAGAGAGCTGCCTGTAGCTGTTGGCTCCAGAGTAGTTGGGAGAGTTGCTAAGACTAGGAACTGGGAGCTGCTGGCCTCAAAGTTCAGAACTCTAACACTAGAAACCCGAGAGCTGTGGACACCCAAATTTTATTGCTGCTAACACTAAGGGAGGGTTGGTGGAGTAGCTCAAGTGGTAGAGTGCCTGCCTAGCAAGTGTGAGACCCTAAATTCAAGCCCCAGTACCACCAAGAAAAAAAAAAGAAAAATCTAACACTAAGGCAACTGTACTTTATCTATTTATGATTTGTATCTGTTGTATCTGAATTAAGCAAAATAACCGTAAGCTGACTGGTAACAAAAGATTTCAGGCATCCATTGGGGGTCTTAGAACATATTTTCTGTGGCTAAAGTGGAACTACTAAATATATTTCTTATTATAAATCACAATATAACAGCTACCATTTTTGTTCAATATATTACAAGATAAACAATAATAGAAAAACCTTCACATTTTGACATAAGGTGTCAAGGAAACTGCTTTTTAAAATCTCATTTCACATGTTTAGAAGATGTGGTTAAATAGTGGTAAAGAAGTGATTTCAGACCAAGAAAGTTTATGGGCTGTATTACTGAAAGTGAAGGAAATTGGCGCTGTTGTATCAGGAGAATTTGCACGAGTTCAGACTCACTATGAAAATCAAAATTAAACCACCAATGACAGAAAACTTCTGAGAAAAGAGGACACTGGAGTTATCTAGTTAGTAAGTTTAATATGAGAATAGCATAGCTTGTTTACACTCCGGGAATTTGTAGGTATGTAGTATGAGCGTAAGATAGGACTTTAGTTATCAGCAATATGTGTGCATCAGTATAAATTAGTGAAGCTATAGAGGGGAGCTGGAAGTGTAACTCAAGTGGGAAAGCCTAGCAAGCACAAGCCCTGAGTTCAAATCCTTCTACTGCAAAAATAAAAAAGATATGGAGGGGATTTAAGGTTTCTTCACATTTTCTAAAATAACTTTTGATATGCAGTTGGTAATTTGGACTAAAATATATTTCCTTCTGAGTTTTGATTGAATACCTCTCAACACTGATTTTTCAAGTATCTGATAAGTTCTGTAATAATGTTGTTAGATATTCTTTACAGTGAAATGACTTTTCTCTTATGGACTGTGTCTGAATGAAGGGCTGGAACTTTTCTTACATTATAGCAAATATAAGAATTTCTTGCTATTGTTGCTTTCTGATATTAAAAGATTTATTCACTTTGAAGGTTTTCCTCACAGTTTCTAGAGCAACTCTTCCTCAGAATTTGTCTTAATGTCAGAGTGCTGAGATTAATTTTCATTATAAAAATCAAATTAGTTTTCTCTCTCATGTTTTTCCTAAATGTAGAATGTGTTGGTGCTACATTGAGCAAAACCTTTCTCATGCTCATTAATAGCATTCGTAAGATTTTTACTCTGATGTGGTATCTCTGGTACTGAAGAAAGGTGGTGTATACATTAAAGGTTTTCCCACATTCATCACATTTAGGCTGTCTTCCTCAGAATGGAATTTCTCATGATCAATCAGATCATGGTTAAAACTTCTGCTGCACTGCACACACTGATAGGGTTTCTCCTCAGTGTGGATTCTCTCATGCTCAGTAAGATCTGTGATGAAGGTTTCCCCACATGCATCACACTTATATGGCTTTCCACCAGTGTGGATTCTGTGATGGTTAATGAGACCAGAGTGCTGACGAAAGCTTTTGCCACATTGAACACATGGATATGGTTTCTCCCCAGTGTGGGTTCTCTGATGTTGGATAAGAGCTGAGCACTGACTGAAAAATTTCCTACACTTGTGACATTTATATGGTTTTTCTCTAGTGTGGATTCTCTGGTGTTTGATGAGGTCTGAGTTCTGACTGAAACTTCTGCTGCACTGAGTGCACGGATATGGTTTTTCTCCAGTGTGGATTCTCTGATGAAGAATAAGTTCAGAACTCTGACTGAAAGCCTTCTCACAGCTGTCACAATGATAGGGCTTTTCACCAGAGTGTACTCTCTGATGTTTGGTGAGGTCTGAGCTTTGACTAAAACTTTTATTGCACAGATTACATGCATATGGTTTCTCTCCGGTGTGTATTCTTTGGTGCTTTATGAGATCTGAACGACGACTAAAACTTTTAGTACAATCATTACATGGGTAGGGTCTCTCTCCAGTGTGGATTCTCTGATGTAGAATAAGGTTGGAGCTCTGACTAAAGGTTTTCCCACACTCATCACATTCGTAGGGCTTCTCACCTGTGTGAATTCTGTGATGCTTAACAAGATCTGAGTGTCGACTAAACATTTTATTACACTGATTACATGGGTAAGGCTTCTCTCCAGTGTGAATTCTTTTATGATTAATCAGATCTGAAAGCCTACTGAAAGTTTTGCTACATTGATTACATGGATAGGGTTTCTCTCCAGTGTGAATTCTTTGATGCAGAATGAGGACTGAGCTCTGATTAAAAGCCTTCCCACATTCATTACATTTATAGGGCTTCTCTCCTGTGTGGATCCTTCGATGTTTAATGAGGTCTGAGTTCTGACTGAAGCTTTTACTACACTGGTTACATGGATATGGCTTCTCCCCAGTGTGGATTCTCTGATGTAGAATGAGATCTGAGCTCTGACTGAAGGCTTTCCCACACACATCACACTTGTATGGTTTCTCCCCAGTATGGATTCTTTGATGTTTTATAACATCAGAACTCTGACTGAAATGTTTGTTACACTGGTTACACATAAAAGGCTTCTCTCCTGTGTGGATTCTTTCATGTTTAACCAGGTCTGAGCGCTGGCTAAAACTTTTACTACAATGACTACATTGATAAGGTTTTTCTCCTGTATGGATTCTCTGATGTATAATAAGATCTGAGCTCTGACTGAAGGCTTTCCCACATTCACCACATTTATAAGGTTTTTCACCAGTGTGGACTCTTTGATGTTTGATAAGGTCTGAGCTCCGACTGAAGCTTTTAACACACCAATTACAAGGATAGGGTTTCTCCCCAGTATGAATTCTCTGATGCAGAACCAGAGCTGAGCTCATACGAAAGGCCTTTCCACATTTATCACATTCATAGGGTTTTTCCCAATGAGTTCTTTGGTGCCTAATAAGGCCTGTACTCCAAGAAAAGCTTTGGCCACATTCATCACAGTTATACTGTATTTTTTTAAGGAGGTTCTGATCCTCTTCATTCAATTTATCTTCAAATTCACAGAATTCTCTGCCTTCAGAATCCTGTAGAACATCCTCTCTGGGATTGTCTGACTCTTCAGGAAATGGTTTAATAATTGCTGTAATTTCCTCCTCTGAAGCTGGCTCTCCAATTTTGATCTTAGTCTCACCATCTGGAACAATAAACAAAATCTAAATGAAGTATGTTCTCCACACTGTAAGAAAGCTTCAGACGAAACATCAGTATTTACCTGTAAATACCGTAACAATATGAGAGTGCCCTAATACACTGAAAATTACCCTTTGAGAGGAAAATTGGGAAGAACCAACAAGTAATGGATCACATTAATCATTTATAGAAGAAACTTACCAGAGACCTGGGAATACTGAAGTCTATTCCCTGTGATTATAAAAGTGTGATTAAATTAGGGCTAACAAAATGCTAAGTGGTAGAGTGCCTGACTAGCAAGTGGGAGGCCCTGAGTTCAAACCCCAATACCATTAAAAAGTCAAGAAAAAGGGAAAGTAGTTGGTTGGGTTTTATCTAGCACTGACCAGCTTTTTGGGCTAAAAATAAGGTACTAATGAAAAACTTAAAGGGAAATCAAACCACTTCAATTCCTTTGTATCTTCTTTATCAGTTTTTTAGAAATGGTACAAAGTTGATTATTAATACATGAATGAAGCATAAAGCATGTACTGTGTTCCAAACACTTTATATAATAAAGCAACAGCAGGAATGAATGATCCCAGTCCTTAAGCCTAGCAATTACTTCAATACTATGAAGCTCCTTTATTATACCTTGGACCCATTGCATAAGAACTCTAAGACTTTTTCCTATAATATCTATTTGGATCTGGGGTTGGCATCACAGACTATAGGAGGAGCTGAATAGTACAATGACTTGGCTATTTCTATTTTTCCTTGAACATTAAGTACTCCCACCATGCAAAGCAGCCAAAGTTCTAAAAATTCGCATAGTTTCTATCCCTAGTGTTCAAAAATTTCCCTCCTTTTACATTTTATAAAGGTACATGTCTATGTAACTGTGGTGTGAAAGGGGATGGAAACTTCTGCCCACCTGGGATGAATCTTAATTACTAGTTGTTATAATAGAATGAACCTGAGGTTGACCATTAAATTGGTGAGGAAGTTCCCCTGTAGAGTCATAGGGTACCATTTGGACAGCTGTCATTGAACATGCTTCCTGGATTTGGCCTGCTTTCCCCCGTTCCCCAATGCTTACTCATTAAAGGTCAATAAAGTAGAAAACCATCTATTGCTCAGTTGACCATATGATCTGGGCAAAGTGTTTTATTACTGATTCTCATTAACTTCTCTCAATCCTGGTAGATCCTGTGAGGTCCTCATACTTCCTCTTCCAGAAAGCCAAGGCTGTGTCAGCATCCCATCCTTCCCATTAAAACTGTCAAAAACTGAAAACTCTAGCATTTTATGCTACTTGTAAGCTAACAAGTTGGCATACTAGTTTCATGGCTGCTAGCAGAAGACATGAGACTCTTAGATGAAAGATAAATGACAATTCATTATTCACAGCCATAGCAGAAGACAAACAGAAGCATTTTTTTTATTCAGTTGTTGAACCCCTATTCCCACAGAGTACATGTATAGTAAACTGTGTTATAAGAAAAGATGCTGGGTCTACATCACCCAAATCTTTTATAATGGGCACTAAACACAATTGTGCTCTATCATGTATTCAAAGCCTGCTTGCCATACAATGTTCTTAAAAAATGGACCACAACAAAGGTAGTCAATGCCCCTGCTTGGAAGATAAGAAGAAATACAGGAACCCATGGAAAATTATCTGTCAATACTAACTTCAATAGAAATGATGGAAACCAGAAGACAGCAAACAGAATATCATCTTTCAACTGCTGAGAGGAAGTAATGCTAACCAAGAATTGCAGCTAAGAGAAAATGCCTTAAACAAAAGTTAAAGTAAAGATACTTTCAGTTAAAGAAAAACCAAGAAAGGCTTTAACCTACAGACCTTCACTAAAGGAAATACTAGAGACTTCTTCAAGAAGGAAAAACTATCCCAGATATAACCAAGGTAATGTAGGAATGAAGAACACTGAAAAAAGTATAAAGTATCTGGGTAAATCTGAATGTGTACTGACAGATTAAAGCAATATGAATAGCTTATGGAGTTTACAATATTATAATATGGAATTTAATATATAGCAAAGACAGCACAAGAAGAGGGAAGAAAACAGAAGTAAAGTATATGGCTTAGTGTTAAAGTCCATAAGATTTTTACATTGTACTAGTGTAATAGCAGTAATAAAACTACACCATTTTGTTTTATACCACCCTATTCAAGGTAACCTGTACTAAAAATTGCCCCATATAAAGTCATTCTTTGTTTCCCATTGTCCAGCATTGTAACTTCTAAAAGAAATTCCCATTAAATCGCTGAGATATTAACTACTACAGTCAGCTGTTCCAGGAAAGGGGGACAAACCTAATCAGTTATCTTTTAGTTTTTCAGAACCAAGAACACCTGGCCATCTTCAAATAACATCAAAGTGTGGGCAAGGACTTGCTAATTCTGTTCTCTAATTAGAAAAAGAATAATTTTTAACTTTCATGAAAACAAAGTGTTTATCTAAAGGAGGGCTCAGGAGCCGTTTCAGGAATGAGAGAAAGAAAAACATCCCCTGAAGAAGGACAAGTCAGCACATAGCCTTCCCGTCTAGTCCCTCACTCCCCTCTTTTCCCCCTTATAAAAACATTTTGTATACCCAAAGTCTTTGAAGTGGTCATTAAGATGAGAATCCAGCCATTTTCCTGATTAGTTAGCTTATTGTAATAAAACTGATTTCCCTCCCACTAACTCTATTCTCCCGAATACTGGTGGCTGCGAGGTGAGCCGAACTGAATCTTGATCAGCAACACTGGAAGTAGCAAATTAAAATAAAGAGTAGTAAGTCCTATGGGTTATGTTACAAATTCTAAGTCAACCTTTTCCAATCACAATTCTAAAAGAACATAAAATAGAAAATGGGTCTGTGAATGTGACTCAGTAGAGCTTCCACTTAGCATATTCGATCTCCAATACAAAAAAAGAAATAAAAAACAAAACAGAAAATGAATTAAGTGACTGTTTTCTTAATTCTCAGTTAACATTACAGAAGTTTAAGGAAACATATTACTTCCAATAGATGCATAGAGCATCGTGGCTGAATTCACTCACAGAACTATATTTGAGAAAGGCTGTGATGAGGGAACCATAAAAATAACAATAGAGAAAAGTGAAAAAACAAAAAACTTGACAATGTAAAATTAGACACAAGAGGAGGGGGGAAAAGAACAAAAATATTAAAGAAATAAAACAAAATTAAGAAGCTGGTACATTTATATACTCACACAACACAACACAACACAACACAACACACACACACACACACACACACACACACACACACTGATTATCCCAATAAAAAGCAAACAAAAACATATAGCTAAAATCATTATTGGCTAAATATTAAATAATTTTCTCATAAGAACATGGCAAAGATAGTCACTTCTTATCATTTCTATTCAACATTCCTAGTCAATACAAGACATGAAAAATAATCGAGACATGCAAATATGAAAGAAAAAACTCAAACTGTCTTTACTGAGAGACTACCCAGTCCCATGCATAGAAAAATCCCTACGCTGTCTCAAAAAAGCTATTAGAACTTGCAACTGGGTTTAGTAGAGCAATATACAAAAACAACTGGGTTTCTGAATCGAAGCAATGGTCAGAATAAGAAAATTTTAAACATTTTTTTCAATTGTACCCCAAAATGAAATACTTCAAATTTAGCAAAATATGTGAAATATCTGTAAAATGAAAATTAAAAACATTGCTGAGAGAACCTAAAGAAGACCTAATAAAAAGAAATATATAACATTATTCGTGGATAAGAAGATTTAATATTGGTAAAAGGGTAATTCTTCTAAAATTGATCTATAAATTTGGGGCAAATCCAATCAAAGTCCTAGAAAGAATTTTTTTTTCTGAAAAGTTAAAAATTCCTTAATTTTTTATTCCTGTACCAGGACAATATACCTGATGTAATTAAAAGTAAAAAAGACAAAGATTCCAAGAATAAAAGACCCCAGGAATGCACATCTAATTGACACTAGGCTACATTAATCAATAGCTGCACTTTTTGCCAACTGTGGTTATGCCAGTCCTGAACAAGAGGAACTTCCTGTTTAAGCTGCAGTAACTTTTCTGACTATGGATCATTGCTCCTTCTGTGGCAGAGCTTTACATTTCCTCTAATGCATTCTGAATGACTGTATCAAAGTAACCTGCAGCTTTTCTGAAACTTCTTGCTTTCTCTCCTACTAAGAATTGTAGCCCTTTTTCTGCTATATTTTTTGTGGTTATGGGACTGGGATTTGAACTCAGGGCTTCATGATTGCAAAGAAGGTGCTCTACCACTTCAGTCACAGCTCCAGTCCATTTTGCTCTGGTTATTACAGAGATGGGAGTCTTATACACTATTTGCCCTCACTGGTCTTGAACTACGATTTTCCTGGTCTCAACCTTCCAAGTTAGCTAGGATTGCAGGTAGCCAGTACCTGGCCTTTTTCTGCTATTTTTAAAACCTGCTACCATTCTGCCACTTCCACCACCAGATCCATAACCACCATCATAGAGACTGATAGAGTTTTTTCCACCAAAACTGGCTCCCTCTTCATGGGTTTATTATTTTATTGCTAGTGTCCACTATAATTTTCAAAATCATTCTGGTTCCCACCACCAAAATTTCCTCCTTCATTGTAACATATGCTCATCCTCCACTACCACCACCACCACCGTATCCACTACTCTGGTTTCTATATCCTAGTCTGCTGCCACCATAGCCTCCTCTACTACTATAACCAGGACCATCACCTCAAAATCCATTATATTCACCATCACCTCCTCCATAACCACCTCTACTGCCACCACTTCCACCACCACACCCTCCTCTTCCACCATGGCCCAAATTACCTCCATCACCTCCAAAGTTTCCTCCACAACCCGTAAGCTTGCCAGATCCACCTCCATGATCTCTTTGTGATCCAGAAGACTATCTCTCCTTTTTAGAAAGGGCCTTTTGCACTTCATAATTATGGCCATTAACAATGTGGTATTCCTGACCA